GTTTTGTAATAGTTTCTCGTTATCTTTAATGATTTCGCTAATTTTTGAACGATTACAGTTAGACATACCGTTATGTATACTATTTGCAGAGAATTTATCCCGTACATTGCGCAAACTCACAAACAATAGAGTTAATAAGTAGTTATTTGTATGAATCTGTCTCACTCTTAATGTCCCTGTGTGTTTCCCCGATTGTATATACATACCGGTATGTATCCTCATGTGGTCCCTGACTTCAGCTCTGCGCGCGAAGCCCTTAGAGCAGATGCCGCATACAAAGGGCTTGTTCCCGGAATGCACCACGCCGTGCACCTCCAGGTTGTGTAATGCACCGAAAGCTTTACCTTTATACAAATATTTTATTTCATTAGGCTCTCTAAAAAACTTAAGACTACATAATTAAAGAAAGATTTTAAAATGAAGTAGTACACAATTTGACTATAAAACTATGAAAAAGCGACAAAGTGCTTATACTATATTACTAATATTAAAAATGCGAAAGCTTAGATGGAAACATGAATGTTAGAGGCCTGAACGGATTTTGATGAAATTTGGTATAGATGTAGAGGATTAGATTTTTTTTTAATTTCTAGCAGACGGTGTCGCGGGCGAAAGCTAATCTTAGTTAATAAAAAGGAAAGATTTTCAATTTGTAAGTGTTGAAATAACTTAAAAACTACTTGGCCGATTTTTCGACTTTCACCAAAATAAAAGCTACGTTATCATTGAGCAACAAAGAGTACATTTTCAAATTTTACCTGGACAAAGTCGCGAGCAATAGCTAGTAATATACATAGTCTCACCACAGACTTTACAGATGAACTCTTTAACTCCGGAGTGAGTCTTCTCGTGCTGGTTCAAGTTCTGCTGCGTGAGGAAGGACTTGCCGCATTGACTGCATTTGAACGGCCGCGGTCGCTCCTAGTTGTATAAAAAAACTATTTAATTAAATTAATAATACAGGAACTTTATTACCACACAGATCTTATTTCACGACCATGTTAACAACAATCTAATTTCACGACCATGTTAACAACGACAATCTAATTTTACGACCATCTTAACAACGACAATCTAATTTTACGACCATCTTAACAACGACAATCTAATTTTACGACCATGTTAACAACAACAATCTAATTTTACGACCATGTTAACAACAATCTAATTTTACGACCATGTTAACAACAATCTAATTTTACGACCATGTTAATAACAATCTAATTTTACGACCATGATAACAACAATCTAATTTTACGACCATGATAACAACAAACTAATTTTACGACCATGTTAACAACAATCTAATTTTACGACCATGTTAACAACAATCTAATTTTACGATCATGTTAATGACAAT